TCACCTCACACCTGTCAGAATGGCTATCATCAAAAAGAACACAAATAACAAATGTTGTTGTGGATGTAGAGAAAAGGGAACCCTTGTACACTGCTGGTTGGAATGTAAATTGGTGCAGCCACTATGGAAAACAGTATGGAGGTTTTTCAGAAAACTAAAAATAGAACTGTCATATGAGTCAGCAATTCCACTCTTGGGTATTTATCAAAAAAACCCCCAAACACTAATTCGAAATGATACCTGAACCCTAGTGTTCATAGTTGCCAAGATATGAAAGCAACCTATGTGTCCATCAGCAGATGTATGGATAAAGAAGATGTGGTACGTATATACAAGGGCGTACTACTCAGCCATGAAAAAGAATTAAATATCACCATTTGCAACATGGATGGACTTGAAGTGTATTATGCTGAGTGAAATAAGTCAGACAGAGAAAGGCAAATACTGTATGATATCACTTATATGTGGAATCTAAAAAATACGACAAGCTAGTGAATATAACATAAAAGGAACAGACTTGCAGACATAGGGCACAAACTAGTGGTCACCACTCAGGAGAGGGAAGGGTGGAGGAGCAAGGTAGGGGTAGGGGGTTAAGAGGTTCAAACTACTACGTATAAAATAAATGAGCTACAAGAATATATTGTACAACACAGGGAATATAGCCAATATTTTATATTAACTATAAGTGGAACATATCTTTTAAAAATTGTAAATCACTATGTTGTACACCTGAAACTTATATGATATTGTATTAACACATCAACTATACCTCAATAAAGAAAGGATGTGGAAGAAGTGAATAACACTATCAACTGACATTTATAGAACTCTTCACCCAAGAACAGCAAGATATACATTCTACGTAATTGCAGATGGAACATTCACCACACTCAATTGTATATCTTAGGCCATATATTTCTAAGAATAAAAATCATGCAGAATAGGTTCTTTGATCACATGGAATTAAATGAGAAATCAATCACAAAAAGATACCTAGAAAATTCCCAAATATTTGGGAAATTAAATAATAATACACTACTAAATAATCCAGGCATCAAAGAAGAATTTACAAGGTAAGCCTGGAAAATACTTTGAGCCAAATAATAAAGAAAAGAAATATATCAAAATTTGTGAGATATAGCTAAATACTCAGAAAATATGTATTGCTTTAAATGCTTTTATTATAAAACAAAGGTGTAAAATGCTTTATGAGAAAAGAAAGGTGTAAAATCAACAATATCCACTTCCATCTGAAAAAGATAAAATGAGATTCAATTTAAATACATTAAGTTCATAATAAAAACGAAAGTTCTTAATGAAAAAAGAGCAGAAATTAATGAAGTTTAAAAAAGACACACACACAGAGGAAAAGTACCAAAACCTAAAGCTGGTTCTTGGAAAATTAATAAAACCATAAACTCTTTAAAAGATGGAGCAAGAAAAACGGGAGGAAACATAAATTGCCAATATTAGAAATGAAAGAAGATATGTATATCATACAGGTCTTACAGACATTCAAATGATAATGAGAGGATGTTACAAACCATTTTATGCCAATAAATTTCACAACTTAGATAAATTAACAAATTCAGTCACAAATTACCAAAAGTGACCCAAAAGGAAATACAGAACTTTAATAGCCTTACATCGTTTAAAGAAACTGAATTTATAATTCATGCCCCCAACATACATACAAAATCCTGACCCAGATGGCTTCATTGGTAGATTCTATTTTAATGTTTAAGTAAAAAATAATACCAATTCTACACAAATCCAAAAGATAAAAAAATAAATAGAGGAGGAGTAAATACTCTTCAAGTCATTTTATGAGGTCTCTACAGCCCTAATACAAAATCAGGGGAGGCCATTGCAAGATAGGAAATGACAAAATGGAACCCATTATACTAAGTGAAATAAGTCAGAGAAAGACAAATATCATATGATCTCACTTACACGTGGAATCTGAAGAAAACAAAACACAACAAACCGATAGATGCAGAGAAGAAACTGGCTGTTGTCAGAGGCGGCTGGGGTGGAGGGAGCTTCAGATGGGTGAAAGGGGCCAAAAAGCACAAACTTCCAGTCATCAAATAATTCATGAGATGTAATGTATAGCATGGTGACTACAGTTAGTAATACTGTATTGTGTATTTGAAAGTTGCTAAGAATAGATCTTGAAAGTTCTCATCCCATGAAAAAAACTCTATGTGTTGTAAAAAAAAAAAAGATGTTAACTAGACTTATTATAGTGATCATTTCATAATACAGTTGACCCTGGCACAATGTGGGGGTGGGGCTCCGAACACTGCACAGTCAAAAATCTGTGAATAACTTTGCTGCCGACCCTCTGTATCTGCGGTTCCACATTCGTGGATTCAATCAACTTCGAATCATGCAGTACTACTGCAGCATTATTTGAAAAAAATCTGTATATAAGCGAACCTGTGCAGTTCAAACCCCAGTTGTTCAAGGGGCTAACTGTATATACAAATATCAAATCATTATGCTGAATAACTGAAACTGATACAATATTATATATGAATTATATCTCAAAAATATGTTCACACCAGCTTTATTCATAATTGCCCTGAACTAGAAACAGCCCAGATATTAATCAACAAGAGACTGGATAAGCAAACTGTGGTATATTCATATAATAGAATATTACAAAGCAAGTAAAAGGAGTAAACAAGTGATACAACAACATGCGTGACTCCCCAAAACATTATGCTGAATGAAAAAACCTAGGCACAAAAATGTATGTACCTTTCCCCTCATTTATATGAAATTGTAGAATATACTGTAGAATAGGCAAATTGTAGAATATATTGTAGAATAGGCAAAATTCTGGGGATCAAAATCAGATTAGTAGTTCCTCTGTTTCCAGGTGTGGGGTGTTGATTGGAAAGGGGCATGAAGGAACTTTTTTTATTTATTTATTTATTTATTTATTTATTTATTTATGGCTGTGTTGGGTCTTCATTTCTGTGCATGGGCTTTCTCTAGTTGTGGCAAGTGGGGGTCACTCTTCATCGCGGTGCGCAGGCCTCTCACTATCGCGGCCTCTGTTGTTGCGGAGCACAGGCTCCAGACGCGCAGGCTCAGTAATTGTGGCTCACGGGCCCAGTTGCTCCATGGCATGTGGGATCTTCCCAGACCAGGGCCCGAACCTGTGTCGTCTGCATTGGCAGGCAGATTCTCAACCACTGCGCCACCAGGGAAGCCCTGAAGGAACTTTTTGAGGTGATGAAAATGTTCTGTTTCTTGATTGGGAATGTAGTTACATGAGTGTATGCATTTGTCAAAATTACAGAACTATATACTTAAGATCTGAGCATTTCACTGTATTACAACTTATACTTCAATTAAAAAAAACCTTCATATACGTTTCAGCTGAGAAATTCCTCCTTTGGAAGTCTAACCTGTAAAATAAATGCATCAGTAAGTACATAAAGATACATGGACAAGGCTTCAGTTGAGGAAACCAAGGTTCCCATGGTATTTAAAGCAGATTTTGTAGGAACTATTTCATTTTTTGGTCAACGTCAAAACACTTCTGGGGGGAGAACGTGGAAAGATTAACAAAAAAGGGAATGTAGAATCAAAAGTGCCTTATCAACCCAGATAAAAGACTAAGTTTTTAAAAGTGAAAAAGTCACATAAAAAGTACAGGCTGGATAATTTCCCCCCCAAATACTTGCATAAACTTGAGGTTGTCCAATAAAAATACCAAAGATATTATGGTTAAGCAGCAAGAATTGTTAGAAGTCCTTTTCTAAAACCACAGGTACAAAGGCCACTTAAAATCTTTTTCCATGAGTAAGGCTAAAAATGCAGAATTCCACAGTACTACTGGAAAACTTACTGTGGGAAAAAAAAGAATATCTAGCAACAGGTGAATGACTGAATAAACTGTGGTACATTCACAGTATGGCATATTAGGCATCATTAAAAAGAATAATTATATATATGCAATTTGACTTGAAAGGATTTCCATCATGCAGTGTTATTGATGCAGAAGAGTGTACAGAATATGATCCCGTCTAGTAAATAATGATGACAGTTCTCATAGCACCCAACCCTGTACAGTTTCCCCTCTGTATCTGTGGACTCTACACCCACAAATTCGACCAACTGTGAATGGAAAATACGCCAGGAAAAAATTACAGAAAGTTCCCAAAAGCAAAACTTGAATTTACCATGCACTGGCATTATTTACATAGTATTTATATTTTCTTAGGTATTATAAGCAATCTAGAGATTATTTAAAGTATATGGGAGGATGCACATAGATTCTATGCAAATACTACACCATTTTATATAAGGGACTTGAGCAACCACAGCTTTTGGTATCCTTGGGGATCCTAGAACCAACCTCCCATAGATACCAAGGGCGACTATATGTATCTTTGGTACCTGTATATGTTTGTGTATGTATATATGATATGAAATATAGATAAAGGTATGAAAGAAAAAGTACCAAATTGTTAATACTGATATCTTCAAAGAGGATTGGAGGGCTGGGAGTAGTTTAAAAACAGAAAAGATCTGTTTTAAAAGAATTCCCACAATAAATATCTAAGAAATGCTGTGATCACTCACACACACACACACACACACACACACACACACACGTAAAAAGATGGTAACCAAAAAAATTTTAATGTGTTGAAACATCGATTTTTACTTTCTTCCTTATTCTTTTTCCATCCACATATTTTGCTATTGACACATTACTTACATAATCAGAAAAAAAGGGCATTTTCATTTTCAGGGAAATAAAAACATTGTAAAAAGCTTTGAAATTTAAAAAATATATGGTACTGCAAGTAAAGATATTGTTAATTCTGCATAATTAATGTTTTAAAATTCAAAAATTTTAAATAAAAGATCACACAGCATAAACAACACGTTTTGCTTACACCAAAGAACAAAACATCATACATAAACAGACCCCAAAGCACAGACATCACAGACTGAAAGACACACACATGTACCTGGATGATTCAGAAGAGTATCAAGTTCTTCTTTGGCCACAACCATTCTTAATCTATCACTACTATCAATGACAAAAATAATGGCTTGTCCTTCTCTGTATAATATAAAGAATGAGAAATATTAAAGATAAACTTGAACATTTTCCTACGTTTACTATCCATTTGCAATTCCTAACCTGTGTATTATGTCTTCATGTCCTATGTCCATTTATACATTACAGGCTTTGGTGCTATTTCTTATTAGTTTATATGAGTAGTTAATATATTAACCATGTTAGTCATATTTCATGTAAAATAATTTCTTTTCATTTGGATCATAATATGGTAAATTTAGTGACATTGCATAATTTTAAAAAATAACAAGTAAAACCATAATCCTATTATACAGATACAGCCATTAATATTTTCATGTAAATCATTTTCAACATTTCCTTTGTGTATATTCATATATGAATATCTACATCTGTATTTAAATGGAATCCTGCTGTTTTATACTGCCTTTCTGAAATATATGTACATTTCCCTGATCTTTTTTTGCAGTATAGTTTGAACTACTTTTATATGAAACATTAAAGCTCTACACCAGTGTTTCTCAAATATTTTTTACCATAACCATAGTGAGAAATATATTTTACATTAAGATGCAGTTAGACACATAAGTATATGTAAATATATTTGAAATAGTCTCCTGAGACAATACTTACAAAGAGCTTTTATTTTATTCTATCTGACTTTTAAGCTGATAACCAGCCACTGAAATGGTATAAGGATTCACTTACAGATCACAGTGGCACTTCAAAAATCACCGATTTCATTCGCATCTTTCTTTTAATGATTATAAAGTATAATGGACGTGTCATTAAATATTGTACCAAACTTCTATTTTTGGACTTCATAGGTTACTTCCAATTTTCATTACTATGAAAAACTTTGGGATAAACATCCTCCTAAATACATTTAAAAAATTTCTTGATACTTTAAGATCTGTTCTTAGGAATAAAATTTCCAGGAATACATACAAAATTTAAAGTTTTAGATAAACATTGATAAATTATCCTCTGGAAATGTTATATCAATTTATACTACTACCAGCACTTTTCCCACTCCCTTGCCAGCATGGCTCTTATCATTCTTTTCAATTTTTTACCATCCTAACAGCATATTATTTTACTTTGTATTTTGTTAATTGCTCATTAAGTTCAATATATTTTCATATATTTATTGGACATTTATATATTTTTTGTGACTCAGTGCAATCATAAATTAAGGTTTTAAAGTTCAATGCCATTAGTAACCACATGCATATAAAAACAAAACAACTTTTTAATACCATTTTCTCCTATCATTTAAAAAATGAATGCAGATTATCACAGTCACATATTACTAGTGGATACAGAAACTGATATAATTGGAAATATCTATCAAGAGCTTTAAAAATGTTCACTTTGAGCCAGTAATTTCATTTCTGGAATTTATACTAAGGAAACATGAAGTATGACAGAGATTTATACAGTAATATGTTAACTGAAGAATTGCTTATAATCTTCAAAAACTGAGAACAGTCTTTATGTCCAAAAATAGAGAAATGATTAAGCGAATTTGGGCACAGGAATGTGAAAAAATATTAGGCCGCCATGAGAGTTACATCCTTTCTATGTTTTTCCTGATTCACCCTTATCATAGAATGTTAACTGAAAAACTATATAGTACACAGTACATACTTTAGAAGGCTCCTTTCTCAGTTATGTAAAGTGTATATTATATATTTCAAACTAGAAGAAACATACCCAAAAGATTAACAATGGTAAATTTATTAGTGAGATTTACAGGAAACAATGTTTAAATATGCTTTTCTATATTTTCCAAACATTAACTCCTTTCCAAATATGCACTCTTTATATTTTATGCTTTATTACTTTTTTTATATTCTAAGAGTAATATGCAAAAATTATACAATAATTAACATTACAGAGTCATACAAATGACAAACTAAACTTCCTTTATAATCTTATTCCCAAAACAAATGCTATTAATGGTGCAGTATATTCCACTAAGAATTTTCTCTTCTCTCTCCATATATATTAAGCACATACTTTTATTAAGAATAATTTTTTCTTCATATAATTGATAAGAAAAAATGTCATTATAAATAATTCTCAACACACATTCTTCTCTGTGTATCTTTGCCCAGTAGTCCTAGTCATACTGTACTTTTCTGAAAGCAAAAATTATGGCTGCAGGGCATGAACATTTTTCATTTTAACAGATATTGATAAATTATCCTAAGAAAGATGTTACGTTCTCACTACAAGAGTGGCTTATTTTGCCAACAGTAGACTTAATTAATCTTTTTAACCTCTTTCAGTCTAATAGATTAAAATGCACTTGTTCTTTCACAATCAGAAAAGTATAGAGATAGAGGAAATAAATTTACTATTACTGTAGACTTCTCAGCAGTAACCATATTCAGCATTCCACCTACAATGTACCTATAATACTCCTGAATTCATTAACTTCTTCCAAAAAGATTTTGAAGAAAAAGTTAGTCAGAAAAAAAGCTTCCTTTTTAAAGTACTATTTTTTATGCAGTATTATGTTTTCTGTAATTAAAATAAATGTTACATTTTTTTAAAGTAACTAAATACATTTTTTTTTAGAAAAAAGAATTGTTTACCTACTAATTGGAAGAAGAATAAAAAAATCCTATACTGAAAACTGAGGTTTCCTTAAAAACAAAAACACCTCACATTTCCCCCAGAGAATTTATTGTAGGATACCACAAACATTCCACCCTTCCTTTTCCAAACTGGCCCTCAAATCTGAAGCATTCTTCTCTTTCTACCTCAGAGGTCCTCTGGCTCTATATGATTTAAATAGGCCCTCAATATGAAAAGAATATCTGGAATAAATTTCCTTTGGTTCCTACCCAAGAAATACAACATTTGTCCCCACATTAGCATGAAAGAATTAGCCAATGAAAATTAAAATCTGATCTGGCAGTCATCACACACCATTTCAAGACAAGAGTTCATAAGAACAAAAGTGCATTTAGTGAAGAGATACTGTTTATAAATTTCAGACTCCAAAAGTGAGTTACACTCATCTTAAATGAAGAAGTCCTAGCAATATTACAAGTTTAATGAATTTATTTTAACATCGCATACAGATCTTGAGAAGGTATAACACACTTGGATCCTAGCAACTTGACAGCTATTAATCTGAAGAAATTGGTGAGCACTTGATTTGCACATGTTAAAAATATCTTGTTTAGAATTGCTTGTAGAACACATGGATCAACTATTAGTGCTGTTATTTTAACTAAATTTATACAGTAAGTATTTACTGATCTATCTGGCCAGAATCATACTTGGTCTTGAAGAAATACTGAATAAAAAAAAAATCCCTGCCCTTGAGGAGTTCATAATCCCACTAGGGAGGCAGCTATGGTACATGAGTTTAAGATGTAATAAGTACGATTCAAGAGATATGAATGGACGAAGTACCGTGTCAACATGGGGGACAGAATAACTGGGCAAAACAGTGGAATCCTTCATAGAGGAGGTGACTTTTGAGCTAGTCCTTAAAGAACAAATATATTAACCTTAAGTTGCAGAGAAGTAGGGTAGAATAGGACATTAAAAACACAGAACAACATATGCAAGGTCAGGAAGAATCTGAAGCATTTGAGAAATAATGTGAAGTATGATTATACTTTTTTTAAAAATTAGGAAGTATACTTAAATTATATAAAGAATAAACACTGCAACATAGCCCATGTAATCATTTGGATTTCTAATCATTACTGGTTATTAAAATATAACCATCTAGTTTACCAACATTCACAAACATACTTACTTATAATAGTGTTCCCAGAGATTTCTGTATCTTCCTTGACCTGACATGTCAAACACTGTAAAAGACAAACTATAAAACAAAACAAACAAAACGGAAAAACATGACTACATTATAAGGTAGTAAAAGTCTAACTTTTACTTAAAATTTTAAATTGTTTTCAATCAAAGAAACCACCCTTAATATATAATATTCAACTTGGGCCAGCTTTCAAGTACAAGTGCCATAGAATGAATTTTTTTGAATATAAATATGATTTTACAATGAGTAACATATAAAAAAGGTATTTCATTTGCTAGTGAGGTTGCCAGAGTTTATCTAAACTCTAAATTCTTTAGAATAATCCAGAGGTTGTGGTACAAATATTTGAACATCTATGGGCTTCTGAAATAGCAAATTACTTTTTCCTAAGAGTAGGAGGAATAACTATGTAGATCTAATATCATTTTTCACCCACAACTTCTTAATCACAAGTTTAATAAAATGAATTACCTGGATGATTTGAATTTCTCTATGCTGAATCCTATCGTTGGAACTATATCTTGAGATTGAGCCTTTAAGAGAGAAGACAAAGTTTAGAAATTTGCAATTACCATAAATGAATTTTTCCTCAGGTTAAAAAAGAAGCAACCAGATTTTCCAGTTCTAAAATCTGCCACTAAGGAGATGACAGGATTAAACAAAATTATAAATTTTGCAATGAGATCACTGCGTGTGAATTCTTTACAAAGTTTAAGGTTTACTAATTAATTATAAATCTGCATGTGTGTCTTCACATTCACATTTTGTGGCTTGCTGCAAGTTACCACGGACTTAAAGTGGTTTCATAAGTCTCCTTCAGCTCACATATAGGACTTTCTAATCTTTCATACTTATTGAGTTTATATATGCTACAGAGGACTGTGCTCCTGTGTAGATGGTGAATATACATGGTCCCTGCTCTCATGGAATTTATAATCTGGAGGAAGTAAACAGCAATAAACAACTGAGTTACAAGTGAACACAATTTTGAGCAGTGCTCAGTGCAATGAAAGGTGATTGAGGCTGGGAGGCAATGGGGCAGAGGAGGGTTAGTATAGAAGACCCTCTCTGATGAGGGGACATCTCACCCGGAGTGAATGTTAAGAAGGGGAAAAGCTATGACAAGATATTGGCAAAGAACATTCCAGTCAAAGGAATTAGCCAGGGCATGACCTCAAGGCGGGGAGGAACTCACCACTCAGAAAAAGTAGAAGGCCTGTATGTCTAAAGTATATTTAGTGAGGGAAAGA